TTAATATTGCATATAGCTATTAAATTATAATTAATAAATAAAAGTCAAGAATAGTTTTTATTAAAAAATTAATAATTTACAATTTTAATAAAAAAAATATATTTGATTTTAATAAAAAAAAAATATTTAGAAAGTCGTCTTCTTCACCTTGAGCTAGCAAATAAGCTGGAACTCTTGATACCCAAAGCTCAGCCGTACTTCTCTGCCATTGACGATATGATGAATATTAACCCAGAAAAAAGGCAACAGCGAAGAAAATGAATAAAAACCCAGAGTAAGAACATGGTCAAACGAATGTCGCCGCCGTCAGCCAACTTCATATAAGATCCTCAGCTGATGCACCGGGGAAAGAGGTTGTTCTTAGGCGCGAATCCTCAATCATAAGTGCAAAAACATGTTCAGAAGTGCTTCGTAGGCTTTGGTTGGCGGCGATGAACAAGCTCAAGAAAAGTGGATGGAACTGGGCGATGCTTTCACTTGCCATTGATAGAAGGGGGGAAAACCCAGAAATTCATGAGATCTGTAAATAGGTAGGTTGAATGGCTATCAGTTAGGGTAGTTGCAAAGAGTTTGAAAATCTTAGTCCGATTCGATTCCACCACCGTATGAGCATTCGTGAACGAAAATAAGTAGCTAAAAAATAATTAAAGAAGAAAAAAAACTAATTGTTTCGCAAAAATATTTAAATAAAATTAAATACACAAGAAAATTCATGATTTCGGGGCATCAGCCGCCAAAATTCCATTTACAATAGAAGTAGCCAAGACAACGCCGAGAAACTCGGCTCCTGCCACAGTGCCCGCCTGAGCCAACGCGCCAAAACTAACGGCACTTTCAATCTTCTTTTCAGCCGTCTTCAACTCTTCCTCCACCGTGAAGATCTCTTTCCCCGCCGTCACCATCCCTTTCTCCGCCGTCTCGAGTCCTTCTTTCACGATCTCCACCGCTTCCTCCTCAGCTTTCTTCAGCTTCTTCCTAAAACCGAACAACGGAACATCCTCTGCATTCGACTTCTTCTCTGTAACCGTCAATGTCATCGTCGTAGCCAGAAAGAACAGAAGCTGCCTCCGGTTAGAAAGAGAAACCACCGGTGCAGGTTTGCTAACATGCGCCTTGACCGATCGGCCACGGCGCGAAGTGTGCGCACAGTGAACCGAGAGAGAGTGGAGCATAGGTGGCGAAATTGTGGAAGCCATTTCTGCTCTTCTTCACAGTCTGATCCTTTGGGAATCAAAATGTGTGACGCTCAATAAATTTAAAAAACAAATAAAATCTTCTTTTTTATGTCAATTACGGGAATACCCTTCTTCGCTCGAAACGTCGTCGTTCACGTTTCGGTCTTTCGCTCCAAATCCCCAATATGTGATTTTCCTCTATAAATGGTTTTCAAATAAAGCTGAAACTGAAACCCCAAAACTTATTTTCAGTACTCCATTTTTTTCGCACTTTTGGGCAAATTATTGAAGCAAAGAAGTGATGGCTGAAGAACATAAGGCGGAGGCGGCGGAATCAGAAGCGTCGGTGACAATGACGGAGCGAACTCCAAACCCTGGAATAGCTGAAACCCTAGAAACACAAGGATCAGTCGAAGCCACTATTGACTGTGCAGTTCCAGGGGGCAGCGAGTCGACATGCAACAATAACAGTAATGGTGAAAGCTGTGTAGTTGCTTCGGCTGTTGGTCGAGAGAAGACTCTGGAATTCGCAGACGAGTTGACAGAGAAAGGATCGAAGGCTTTTAAACAAGATGATTTCGCTGAAGCTGCTGATTGCTTTAGTCGCGCCCTTGAGATCAGGTTAAACTTGAGCTTCAGTTCAATTTTTCATCTCCTTTTGTTTTCATAAATATTTCCCTATGAATTTATATTGAGAAACTGATTATGTCTTGCTAGTAGGACCTATGTCTTCAGATTAGAGCTGAGGGCTTGATTTTACAAAATTATTTTAACTTTCTTTCAAGGTTTTTCGACGTTTAAAAACAGAGTATTGAACTTTTTAAATGAACTTGTGATATTATATTTTAATATGTGAGATAATTATGTTTGATTAACATTTTTTGAGGAAGTAAAATGCAATTGGAAGGTTTCTAGAATTTCAATAAGTAGCTTAATTAACGTGTTATCTTTCAATATTTTTCTTCTTTTGTTGTCAAAATATTTTTACTTCATACTAGGGTTGCGCATCATGGTGAACTTGCAATTGAATGTCTCAAGGCGTACTATCTCTATGGGCGTGCACTGTTGTACAAGGCTCAAGAGGAAGCTGATCCATTGGTTTCTGTACCAAAGGAGTGTGAGACTCGGCAAGACTCGAAGAAAGAAGGGTCGATTAAAAGTGCTTTAATTCGGGAAACTTCATTTGCTTCTGTATCAAGTAATACCAAACAAGATGGCGGTAGGTTTTCGTAAAGGGATTCTTGTATTCTAGTTGAATTGAGCTTAGGTACTTGAGTGTAGTTGAATCTTTTTCAATGTCTTGATATATTTACTATTTCTTACATATGGTACGAAAGTGTCAGTTAGACTCATTCAAATTTTCAGTCAGAGTGTTGTCAGTTATAGATAGTAGCTGCTTTACAATTAATATGTGTTGCTTATGGAATATATGTTAGCCAAAAGCTAAAATGTCAACTGTTCTTTATTTTGTTGTGTTTCAGGTGGAAAAGCTGAGGAGGAGGAGGAAGAAGATGATGATAGCGACGGTGATGATGCTGCTGAAGCAGACGAGGAGGCAGATGAATCTGACCTGGATTTGGCATGGAAAATGCTAGATGTTGCCAGGGCAATTGCTGAAAAACAACAGTTGGGTGACACCATGGAGAAAGTGGATATTCTATCAACCTTGGCTGAAGTTGCCTTGGAAAGAGGTCAGTACTTAACTATTCATTATAGTTAGTTGCAATGCTTGTTTTGGTTATGTGGGGGAAGGGAGGAACCCTCTCTACCAATTTGGCTGTAGCTTTTTCTTGAAGCATCTTGTTTTGCCAAAACATAAATTTCTGTTTGATATGCTTCTTTAGAGGACATCGAATCTTCACTTGGTGACTACCAGAATGCTCTATCCGTTTTGCTCCGGCTGGTTGAACCAGATCACCGTCAAATAGCTGAACTGTATCCTTCATTGGGTTGAAACTTGAAATATCTATATTATTTAGATAATCATTCTTTACTTAATACCCTATTCCATCTTTCTGTTTCATTCAAATTCTACATATGCTACTTAACCCTTCGATTTAGAAATTTCCGCATATGTATGTGTTTGGAAATTGGCTCAAAGCCCCAAGAAGCAGTTCCATACTGTCGGAAAGCCATCTCAGTTTGCAAGTCTCGGCTGGAGCGGCTCAGAAATGAAGTAAACGAATCCTCGGGATCAGCATCATCTGCAGTTGCTTCTGAATTGGATTATGGTATACAACAGTCCTCGAATGGCTCACAGAATGTTAAATCTGTCAAAGATAAAGAAGCAGAAATTGAAACACTAGCTGGACTTGCCGAAGACCTGGAAAAGAAGGCAAGTGCAAATTTTGATACTGTCTTTGAATTAAAACCTTACCGTATAGCTTTATTTATTCCATCCATTTCTGCATTTGCAGCTTGAAGATCTACAACAGCTGGTCTCCAACCCAAAATCGATTATTGCAGAACTTCTGGGAATGGCATCTGCCAGGGCAAGGGGCGATGAGAAGAGTGCACCTCCTGCTGTGCCGAGCTCTTCACATATGGCTACTGCCAACAGTGAGGGTCATTTTGATTCTCCAACCGTTTCAACTGCTAATACAAACGGTGGGCCTGCCGTCACACATCTTGGCGTTGTAGGACGAGGAGTAAAGCGTGTTTTGACAAGTACAGGAGCGGTAGAATCGAACCCGATTAAGAAACCCGCAATTGACCCACTATCTGATAAAGGAAATGGAAGCAGTGCAACTTAATGTTTGTGATCCTAGATTTCGTCCATGCATGCTTTAATTATTCCTATTACAAATTAATAGTCGTCGGTGTTTGCTATTTGTGCCGCTGTTCGCTAGATGTTAACAGATTCTTCCCTAGTTACTAAACTTAATTCTGCTTATAACTGCAATAGTACTAAGCTAAAGTTTATGTTCCTTTATTCTATATCGTGACACTTATTATGGGTTTGCATTCAGAGCGAATCCATTGAAATGATCAGCATAGTTGTAATGTCAAAATTAATCTACACATGATTATTTTAATCTTTATTTTTGTTTTAATTTATAACATTTCGATTTATAATCAAAATGGTCTTTACTAGAAGAAATTGTTAATTTTAAAATGGCATATCATCTTATTAGACGTGAAGTATAATGCGTCACATAAAGTGGTTAAGATAATGTGATAATATCAATTATTCAAAGTAATATTGTGATAAATTATGTTACTTAATATATGTCATGTCATTTAAAATAATGATATGATATATATTATATCATTTAAAGTGATGACATAATATATGATATGTTAAGAATTAAACTAAAATAATGACATGACAAATGATACGCTGGCAATTAAATACTTTTAAGAATGTTATATCAATATAAAAGTTATTTTAATAAAAGTTTAGATTAAAGTATTTAAAAAATTAAAATTAAATAATTATTTAATAGAGTAAATTAGAATAGAATGGTCGTTCTTGCATTTGTAATATCAGATCTAAATTAATCTATTATTAATTTAAAACGGAGATTATAAAAAAATTGATTTAATTTCAATATTATACTAATAAAAAAAATCAAAGGATGGATTCAGAATCTCTAACACAAACTTGCGTTCCTTTGCTTCGACATGGTCAAGAGACTCAAATTTCGGAATACAGTTATGGATCCATAAATTCGGATCCTCCTTTTTATCACATTCCATATTAGAACTTTAAACTAAATAGAAGCGTAAATACTAAAATTGCAATCTTTTTGAAGCAATCAGATAAGGTTCTAGCCAAGGCTAATTACTAAACAGCCTGTCTCCCACCCTCGTCTTAAATGTTATTGTCTGACTCCTTATTGTTACTTCAATATCCCCAATTTTTAATTATTCTCATTTGTTTAAGTTAGATCCGCGATAAAGAAAGGGAGAAAACGGTGAGAAATGGGGAGAATGCAGCAGTATTTGGCTATGAAAACCGATCCCGTCGCTCAAGAAATGATTAGTTCTGATATCAATGAACTCAAGCTGGCTGCTATGAAATTGATCGATGATGCAACTAAACTTGGAGGCCTGGGTTTTGGAACTTCTTTTCTCAAATGGGTCGCCTCGTTTTCTGCTATGTAAGTTCTTTCTTTTCACCTTTGTTCAACACCGGGCTTTTTTTTGTTAGGTTGTAAAAATTTATCAATGTTTTATGGCGGTTTGGATTATTTGGGTAAGCATTAGATGTGTCTGTTTGTATGTTCGTGTGGTTATCATCCGTGGACGGAACGGAGTTCTGTATCTGATAAACAAGAAAGGGGTTTCCCCCCCCCTTTGAATATGAAACTTATTTTTGCATTTGTATCTGAAATTTTCTAAGCTGCTTTACTTTTGAAAGTTTGATAAGTGAGCTGATGAATCCGTACTTCGATGAGTGTCGGATATAAGTATGTGTTCGATAAAGCGATCATACACTATCCCGATCAAGGGACTTACTGTTAGAATGCAAAAATGTTTACAAATGATTTGATAACTTTGTTTGCAATGCAAATAATGGGAAATCTAGCTTGATGAAATTCACTTAATGAACAACATCTTGCGTCTTAGGAATATGACTCCTAATTTATCTGTACTTGATGAAGATTATGAGTTTATTCTACCTTCTTAATTTGTCTTAGAGCCTCTGCGCTTTTTGCCTCAATCTCGGTTGTGATTGTCAATATTAGTATGTATTCGACACAAGTATGTTAAATTTTATTTTCTATGTTTTTCAATGTATTTGGATGATCTTTGAAAGGTCATATATTCGGTTATTGGAAAAGGGTGCTTTACCAAAAACGAGAAGTCGAAATTTCATAGTTTTTCTAGGTTGCTGAAGAAATGTTGATGTACTGCAATACTTGTGAAATTTTCAAAAAGATTAAAAAGCTTCTTGTGTGAGTTCTTTGAATGACTATGCTTCATTTGTAGCCTAATTCTCCTCTTTTGCTGTGAGAATTGAACTTCATGAGGTTCATAAAACCACATATATTTGTTTGTGTATATATATATAACAAGGATTGTGAATTTGCAATAAATACTTATTCTGTATGATCTGTGCAGTTATTTGTTAATCCTGGACCGAACAAACTGGAGAACAAACATGTTGACTTCACTTCTGGTACCTTACATCTTCTTGAGTCTTCCTTCAGGATTGTTCGACTTTCTCAGGTGATAATCTTTACCATTTCTTTCCTCCGAGTTGTCTCTTTTTCTTCTTTATATTGTGTTTTGCTTAAATATTGTTCATTGAACAACTATTTAAATACATTCAGGGGAGATGTTGGAAAATGGATTGCATTCATCGCTGTCGTTCTGAGACTGTTCTTCCCCGGACACTTTCCAGGTTTATTCTCAATCTAAATTACCTTTTGAACATAACAATATAAAATTCATACTTTGCTCCTGGTATTTGTAGACTACATGTTTCTCAACTTGAACCCGAATAATTGTCCTTGTTACTAAATTCCTTTTTCTGATACTGTAATATTGCGTGAGTTGCAGATTGGCTGGAAATGCCAGGATCATTGATACTTTTACTGGCGGTGGCTCCAAATTTCTTTGCAGTCACCTTGAAGGGCAGCTGGGTCGGCGTTTTAATATGCCTCGTAATTGGATGTTACCTGCTACAAGAACACATCCGAGCATCGGGTGGATTCCGGAATTCCTTCACTCAGAGTAATGGTATATCAAACACCATCGGCATTATCCTTCTGTTAGTGTACCCCATCTGGGCTCTTGTGCTCCACTTCCTCTAGCCGACAGCCAAACAGACCCGGTGCTGAATCATTGTTGCCTTCGCAAATACTTGAATAAAAGCCTCTGCTGTTTTTAATGTATTTCGTATGTTGAAGCCTTCGTCAAGACTGGATTGGGATTCATATGTGATATTAGTGAATGAATGAACCAATAAACTAGCAATAATTTCATTTCTTTTGTATATTTTCCCATGGCTGAGCCTACTTCCTTCACTGTCAAAGTTGAGTGTGTCAACGGAAATGCACCCCAAAAGTTCAGAAGAACCAACCTAATGATATGTTTAACCTACACACTCGATGTGTAGCTCGATTTCATTGAGAGAGTCTCCGAAGTATCCATTGATGGAACTGTCAAATTCGAAGAGAAAAATGGGGTTGAGATTACTCTACTGTGACAGTTCAGCTACCTGGTGGTGAACGTGTGCCTTTACATTTCACCATTAAACAACTGGCTGCATAAGAGAAACCCGAGATCTTTGGTGGAGACACAGTGAGCTATTCATGTTTTACATTAGAATCTAATACATATGCAGACACGAGCTTAATAAATGATACAAACTAGGCCCGCTTATAGCTAGTTACTTATCTATGGCAATTTCTTTCCTTTCTCAACAATGGCAATCCTTGCAAGTTCTGTTTTTCACACTCAACAATGTTTTTGCTTCCTATATCAGAGCTCAGCCCTCACTCGTCAATGGGGCTGACTTTTGGTGCTCAGAATCGTCGGTCCCGTGCTCGACATATGCCGCCTATTTTGCTCAAGAACCGGACTTTTTGGACCTTCGGAACATTGCTGATCTGTTCGGAACCAGCCCTCAAGAGATTGCAATTGCTAGCAACTTGGTATCCGAAGATACTCGGTTGTTCCCAGGCCAACTGTTGTTGGTCCCTATAACCTGTGGTTGCGCCGTGAACCATTATTTTGCCAATGTTACATATGATATCAAGCTTGGTGACACATATTACATAGTTTCGACCACGGTTTTCGAGCGTCTCACCAATTTTACTGCAGTGGAGGAAATGAATCCTTCTCTTGAGCCGAAAAATTTGCACGCAGGTGACGAGGTGGTGTTTCCTTTGTTCTGCAAGTGCCCTTCGAAAGCTGAATCAGATAACGGAACCGGGTATTTTATTAGCTATGTATGGCAACCAAAAGACAGTATTTGGAGTGTTAAGTGTTATGTTCAATGTATCAGCACCAGCTATAATTGCTGAAAATAAGTTAAATGGTTACCCCGAGATTAGCTCAGCGGTGATTCCTCCCCTGATGATCCCCGTGTCGGACTTGCCGGTTCTTTCGCGAATTCACCTAAGCAAATCCAAAGGGATCCTCATAGTTGTTTTAAGCACAGTAGGCTGTTTGCTTATTTTAGCAGGTATGTTTGTACATGAGAGAAAGAAGATCTTTAAGCACAAAAGTTGTTTGACTCCGGTGAAGGATCTTAAGAAAAGTGAGAGTTTCGGGCCAAAGATCGTGCAAGATAAGCTGCTTCCTGGAGTTTCAGGCTACTTAGGCAAGCCGATCATGTATGAAGCTGATGTGATTATGAGGGCAACTATGAACCTTAATGAACATAGCAGAATCAGAGGATCGGTGTATAGGGCCACCATTGATGGGAAACTGTTAGCCATGAAGAAAACAAAGGATGATATCACAAAGGAACTCAAGATTTTGCAGAAAGTAAATCATGCAAATCTGGTGAAGTTAGTGGGCGTCTCAGCTGATTCAGAGGGAAACTGCTTCTTGGTTTATGAATATGCTGAAAATGGATCACTCCATAAGTGGTTGCATCCAAAAAGTTCATGTTCTTCGAGCGGTGTCGCGATTCTCACATGGAGCCAAAGGTTACATGTAGCACTGGATGTTGCCAATGACCTGCAATACATGCACGAGCACAATCGACCAAACATCGTCCACCGAGATATCAGAACGAGCAATATACTTCTCGATTCCATGTTTAAGGCCAAGATTGCAAATTTTTCAGTTGCCGAAACCATCACAAATACTATAATGCCGAAAATTGATGTTTTTGCATTTGGGGTTGTGCTGTTAGAGTTGCTTTCGGGTAAGAAAGCAATGGCAACAAAAGAGAATGGTGAGATTTTCATGCTATGGAAGAATGTAAGGGAAGTTTTGGAAATTGAAGAGAAAAGAGAAAAAAAGGCTAAGCAAATGGATGGATCCAAACTTGGAGAGCTTTTATCCCGTTGACAGTGCTCTAAGCTTGGCAATATTGTGGCATGCACTCAAGAGGATCCTCTGGCTAGGCCAAGTATGTCCGAAATCGTCTTTAGCTTTTCCGTTCTTATTCAGTCATCTTTCGAGATATCGGAAGGCTCTTGGGCTTCGGGGACAGAAATAGAACTCACTCAAATCATTGTTCCGGTCATAGCTCTGTCGTTAAGTATTGCAGAAATTCCATAGGTTTATGTAATAACCAATGTATAATTCTGTTTTATAATATACAGTTTTAGCTTGGTTTTCTGTTTTGAAGATGTATTGGACTATGTCTTATTAATGTGAATATAGATCATGCATTAAAAAAACAGTTTCTTCTCCTGCTATCAGTTACAGAAAACACTCGATAAATAAAAGCTACATCAATAGCTCCCAGTAGATGTTTGAGACCACGACATGTAGCTCGATGAATCCCCTGCCGACGAAGTAGTCAGAATTCTCGACAACGACTGTGCAATTTCATCCATATCAGGGCGAGCTGTTGGATTTTTATTCAAACAACTATTTATCAATTGGACAACCACTATGGCAAGTTCTGAAGGATAATTCTCTACCATAGAGGGTTCGATCAAGTGCTTCAAACCCTCCTTTCCATTATCAACCACATCGCTTACGGCATCTGATAAGTTTGTATATTCGTCGCCATAGAGCGCTGCAGCTTCTTTCCCGGTTATCACCTCGAGCAAGAGAACCCCAAAAGCATAAACATCTAGCTTTGTGGAGACCAAACCGTTTTCCAAATACTCTGGAGCCATATAACCCTTTGTTCCAACAATGTGCCTTGTCAAGGCGAACTCGCCCTCTCGTCCTTCGGTCGACCTCGCGAGAGCAAAGTTCGTGATCTTAGCCCTGAAATCACTATCAAGAAGAACATTACTGGTTTTTAAGTCCTTGTGGATATGAGGAGGATTGGTGAAGCTATGCAGGTAGTTAAGCCCTGTTGCTACATCTAATGCAATCTGAATTCTATGTTTCCAGCTTAAGAATTTCCTGCTGTCATCTTGGTTAAAGATCCAGTCGCTCAATGCACCATTGGCGGTATACTCGTAGACCAGATACCAGTTCCCGTCGTTGATACAAACTCCGGAAAGGCGGATAAGATTCGAGTGGTTGACCTTGTTTAACAGCTGTATCTCCTTTGAGACGTCTCCGTGAACCTTCTTGATGGCTGCGAAGTCACCGTTGATCACGCCTCGGTAAACCGATCCTTTAATGTGATTGCTGGGGCTGAAGTTATCTGTTGCAGATTGCAAATCTCCGAACTTGTACATTTTGAGATTGATTGATTGAGCTATACTTGACATACTATCCAAAAAGTCCTGAGATCCCTCTTCCAAGCTTTTCTCCAATGGTTTTTCAACAGCCTCGAAGCTTTCCGAGCTAATAATCGGATCGGATTTCTTCTTTGTTTTGCGGAAGAACATACAGAAGCTCACTATGCAAACAACCGAGAGGAGGCCAACTCCCCCAAGAACACCTGCAAGTATATAAATCCATGTTCTGTTTGAGCTTCCACTCGGAGGAAAATTCGGTGGCGGTATAGCTGAAGGCGGCGGCGGCGGCGGCGGCGGAGGAGGCAGTACTACTCTAGACGGAGGATTCCGGAGGGGAACTAAAAGTGTAGTGAAGAAATTAATGGTGGTGTCATCAGAAAGCTGATTAGCTTCACGAATCATATCAGGATCTACACCGAACAATTCGCTAATACCATCAACAGTATTACCTTCAGCAATTAGATAACTCAACAAATAGTTGATTCCAGCATCTGTTTGATTCCTTGTGGGACAAGCACATCGGAGAGGAACCGTAATCCTCATTCCCGGCGTCAAATTCCGGGACAGAAGCCCGGGCTGCTGGTTCTGTATAGCTTGACAAGTTGAAAGAGCTTGAAATGTATTATTTGCAATCAACAAATAACCTTGTCCGCTCTGAACCCTGTAGCTTGTGTTCCTTTGATAATGGTCTCCTGAACATGAACAATTGACCGGAACTATAACCAACTCATTCGATGCGAACGTCGCCATCTCGGAAACCTCGTTTATCTCGGCTATTTGCGACGGATCGGAAGACAAGAGACCGGAGATTGATGTAACGTTGTTGAACAAAGGTTGGGGTCTGAAAACAAGGTAACTTTGGCAGCTCCTGTTGACACCATTGCAGGTGTATCCAAGAACAGAACCCGAAGTGTCCGGATTTTCACAAGCCGTCGTCCTCAGTCCGACATAAGGCTGCTGAGCTTGAACCAAGAAACCGTAACAAAATACAAAGAGGGTCAAAAGACAAACCGGAGACGAAGATTCCATAGGCGAATACAGATTATGAAGAGAAAAAAAAAATATGTTTGATGTGTGAATATATTGGTTCTGGGATTAAACCATGCAAAACAAAAGAATACGTCTAACAAGCCTGCTTGTTGAATTTGTAAAAGGGGATTAAACAGGGTGGAAGACAAGGAAGATTGGTGGGCAAAGGAAATCTCTTGGCCATATCCAAAGCTTGGAACTTGAAAGAAAGTCTTCAGAGACGTAGCATCCAAATTACTAAAAAATATTGATCTTGGAACCACTAAGTTGACTTTTCTTTTGATGAATGGTATGCCATATTGCCAAATAATTTGCATTTGAAAACGACAATGATTGAATTCAAAAACCCATTCAAGGGTTGATCGAATCTCAATCTCTTTTCCCCTTTTGTTGCAATTTGCAGACATGCTAAAAGACGAGTTCTTTTTTTGTTATTCTTGCTAGCTGGTTGTTTGCTTGGTCAAATGAGACTATTCAAAGCCGCCAGAAAAGTTCCACTCTTTCCCTTTTTGGGTTACTTTCACAAGAGATTCCTAAACTATATCCCCATTCTAAATCAATCCCTAACTTCTAAAACATTCTATATCAATCTTCGAACTATCATATCATTCTATTTTGATATTTCATTTCGATCTTTCCGTTAATGGATCGTTAACTCTACTGGTTAAATAAATTAATTTATTTTTGAAGGTCAGAGTTTGAAGATTGATACAAAACATCTTAAAATTTAAAGACCAATTTAAAATGAAGGTCATAGTTTAGGGATTACTGTAAAATATTTTAAAATTTAAAGATTAATTTAGAACGAGAGTTATAGTTTAAGACATCGTGTGCAGTTGATAATCAAGAGAAGTTCAACTTTACTTTTGCATCCACAATTCAACCAAGTCATATTCGGATTCGGATATTCGACATATAATCAAATTTCAATTCAGATGATAATATTCGGACTTCATGCAAAAATAAACAAATTTGGAGAGAGAAAAAGAGTCCATTCTCATTCAGAAGCTATAAGAAATAGCAGAAACAGAGAACAATGTTCCTTCTCCCTGTGATGCTTTTCAATTCTGTCTAAGCGGCAAGATACAATATTGTAAAGCATAATAAGCAAGCTATACTAAACCAATAACTAAGACAATAACAACTACATCGACTATCCTCTAATACTCCGGCTCCACGAATTTCGGTTAGTATAATTAAAGCCGTGATTACGAGACAGATGATGCCAGGCACCTTGTCATCTCGTAACCGATGGGCCAGCCAATCGGGTGCGATGACGAACAGGACGAAACGCGGAACTGTTACAACAAATAGATAATCAATATAGGAGAAGAGAAGTAAAACATTTGTAGTCACAACCAGTTGATTTGTTTGAAATCTTGTTTCGAACCTGGAAAGGTTTCGGGAAAATAAAGATTCAAAGCTACGGCAAGAAACGCAACCCAGCAACCAAATTGCCCCCTGTATCATTACGTGAGAAATTGTGGTGAAATGTAACTCTACAAAACATTAAAACATATACCAATCAACCAAGACAAGATCAATGTTGAAAAGTGCCTAGTACCTTACGAGTTTAAAGAGTATCGTTGGGAAACTAGCGAAGAGAAATAATACTAGGAGGTTAGTCAGCATGTGCGATCTCCGTCCTGTTCGGTTCATGAGTAATAAAATCTGTAGAGAAAGCAAAAAAATATACAAAATGATGCTTGAATAAGGAAACAGAGTAAAACACAAGACTAAGCTTTTGTTCATACAAAATCCGGGAAATGGCTCTTTGATGGAACTGAAAGGCTTCATATGCAAAACAGAAATCATGGAAAAAGAAAATTTCAATCAAGATGTCGTTCAAATATGTTCTTTCCGATGTATATTACACTCATGATTTCCGGCCCCTACTCAAGACCTTTTCCTCAAGTTTTGACAAAAATAAGAAAAAAAAATATACTAGATTTTATCACATACTACTTTCTTATCCAAGCATGTTCAAGGCATGCATGGCAATAATTAAATGATGAAGGCAACAGATCTAACAACTATTTTCTGAGTATTTAGAAGGTGTTTAGTTCCTCTGCAGTAAATACAGTCTATATTATCTTGTTTGCTTATGTTATAGTTCTCCAGCTATAGTTCGGTTTAGCATTTCTCGAGTTCTCACGAGTCGAAATGGATTCAATGAATTATGACTCGTCTTTCTACTAAACCATTTCCCTTTGTTGCTCCCTACTCTTTATTTTTCTTGAAATATTAAAGCCCGAGACATATTCAGACATGCATATGGAAATAGCCATTAGGAACATAAACCAGAAATCAACACTCGAATTCAAGCAACATAGCCATTTCCTACCATCTCAGCATCCCAAAAGGCTTCAAAACTCAACCTTTTTTATCTTATCCTTGCTAGAATTTTAAACCCTAAAACACATCAAAAGGCAGCTGATTTGCAGAAATCCGATACAAGAAGGGCACCCAAACAGGGATCAACAGTTGCCAACATCACTAAAATTTACACTCATTTGATCCTTACTAGAGATGAGTGTCGAATATAACAACGATAGCGTATAATTGAAACTTTCTATAAGAAAATCCAGCAAGCATAATTGATTCATTCAAAGTCACCAATGACTAGTGCAAAAGAAAATAATAATATAAAACACACAGCAGTTTCACCGATTAACCTACATAATCATTCATCTCTGACATTGGAAAGCGACCCAAAATGCGTTTTCATCATAAATCGAAGAAAATTAGCCATTCATATCAATCATATAACAAAATTCAACGTCTTTGGACCATTCAAAGGAGAGAAAGAAAATGAAGAACTGGGTTAACTAACTTACAAGGCCAAAATGGTGCCATCCCATTGATAAACGGCTCGAGTCTGTGCAGATCCTAAAGCTGAATCTGCAAAACTTGAGTCCAGTTTCATCTCCATATCTGCCAATCCTAAACTAATCATTTTCTTTTCTGTTTTTCTTTGGTCCCCTATAGTTAAGGGGGAAAAACATTACCCGGAGGTCAACTTATTTTAATTTTTGAATTATTTTGAGTACTTTATATTATTTTTACCATTCGATTATTAAACTTTAAATTATTAGTATTAATTTCAAGATGTGATGTGTTGATTTTTAATTTAACCTATTAAATTTGTATAAAATATTAATTTATTTTATTAAAAAATAAATATAATAATCAATTATTTCTTATTGTCATTTTTTTATTTAATCCTCGTTGATCATTATTGTTAATTAAATATAAAATTCAGTTTATTTATTTTTAATCTTTTAAAATTTAATATGTTTCTCCGAAAATATATCACATGAATTTAAGAGTGAACTATGTATTTAGTATCTAAACTATTAGTTTTAATATATAAAATTTTAATTTTTTAAAACTACACCTAAAGTTTAGTTTTTATTTCATTTTAGTACCCGTCATTAAAAAATTTAACGCGTTTAGTACCTAAAGTATCAGTTTTAGCCCGTTTAAGTACCTAAACTTTCAATTTTTTAAAAACTTAACATTAAATTTTGAACGGAAATACTAAATCTTTAGGTATGATTTTAAAAAAATTGAAAGTTTAAATACTAAAGCAAATTAAAACTGATAATTTGAGTATTAAACGCGTAATTTACCTTAAATTTAAAGTGATATAAATTTCTAATTAATAGTTTCTCATAAATACCTAAATAGTTTTAGGGTATCACTATTTTTTTCCATAACCGGAGCTTGTACATGTTCCACGTGGCATATTTGTAGCCCTTGGATTTGGTTCCTGCTGTAGTTCTTGTTCGTGGTAGAGTGGAATCAAACTATTTGGGATTCGGTATCTTTGCAGGAGGAAAAACATTTATTCATCAATTTTGTGTATTATTCATCCAAAATCCGAAATGCAATGCTTCAAGCCATAAACACTTCCATTGGAAACAACCTCATCATCATCATTGATCCCTCGATAATCAAAACCTTATCAACCATCTTTCTGCAGGCTTTTCTTTTCCTTCCTACATGTTTCTGTATTCGAGACTCGATCGAGTTTCTCCAGACCAGCTAATAGAACACAATATGTGCCTAATGAAGGACGAATCCCTTTCCTTCACATTCGTTTCGTATATTTTAAGTCATTTATCAGCAGTCCCGGCTCGAAGTAGACGTCAACCGAAGCAGCGTGAGTAGCAACACATTGCTGATCATCGGGCAGTGAATCGAAGATCCTTGCAGCGCAAGTTGGCCTTGTGTTCGAACTTCGAACTTTACCGTAGTTTGATTCTTCGGTTTCCTACCACTTGGCTTCAGTTGAATTCTCCGCTTTTCAAAGACCAAATGTACAGAGAAAAAACGAAACAATCAAGATTCACAAGCTTCTTGTTCTTTTCCATTGCTTACCTTGACAACTGACATGGATCATGTTCTTGATTCTGTTTCTCCCTACGGTGATATTTTTTTCATCATATGCATTCAAATTTAAGGGGAATTTCATATGCCATAACAGCACAGACAGGATAACAATTTTCTATAGTTATTATCCTTGTGGAATTATATTTCCAACATTAAAAACTATTCACCTGCTTCTTTCTCTAAGCCTATTGGATTAAACACAACAAGAAGCATCAATTCAGGCCAATTCAACCTTAACATAAACCAACAAGAATAAGAATTATACAACAACAAAAAGAAAAGTTAGTTTCGCCTGTAAGCTATGTAATTGGCCAAAGCAACCAAAGGAGCAGCCTTCTCAGGATTAAATCCTTGAAGCAACTCCAATGAATCACTTCTCAACTTCTCTGCAAACTCCCTCGACTTCTCGATTCCGATCAACTTAGGATAAGTCACTTTATCAGCTACCAAATCTTTGCCTGCAGTCTTCCCTAGTTCCTTGGATGACTTTGTGACATCAAGAATATCATCAACAACCTGAAACAGAAGACCGATATTACGAGCGAATTTCCTCAATTTTTTGACATCTTCATCGCATCCGCCTCCGAGAATAGCCCCCAAAACCACAGCAGCTTCAAGCAAAGCAGCAGTTTTGTGAACATGAATGAATTCTAAACGATCCAACCCCACATCTGTTAGTCCCTCACTACATATATCCACAACTTGACCAGCCACTAACCCTTCAGCCCCAATGGATTTAGCTAATTCTCCAACTGCTCTCACTATCCTACCATGTGAAACACCAACAGTAGAAACGGCTATATGTTCGAAAGCATAAGCTAATAGAGCATCCCCAGCTAAGACAGCGATATCCTCACCGTATACCTTGTGATTAGTTGGTTTTCCTCTACGCAGATCGTCGTTGTCCATGCAAGGAAGATCATCGTGGATTAGAGACATGGTGTGGATCATTTCAACAGCACAAGCAGCCGGCAAAGCCTTGGATTCTTGGCCACCAACAAGCTCACAAGCAGCTAGACAGAGCATCGGCCGGACCCTTTTGCCGCCAGCTAAAAGCGAGTAACGCATCGCTTCATAGATTTTAACCGGGTCACGGATTGGAACAGCCGAGTCCAGGGCCTGGTTAATCGTCGTTGCCTTTTGAATCATGTAGGATTTGAAGTCAAAAGTCAGGTTTTGAGGGTGCTGCTCTTCCTCCTTCACGGTGTCTCCTTCGGTAAAAACCGCTGAAACCGAAGGAACAGATGTAAAGCCGTGAGCTTTCGAGGTTGAAGATGACAGATTCATAAGGGGATTGAACGGAAACGATCTGGGAAAAAGAAAAGATTTGGATCTAGAAGCTTGGTTGAAAATTGAGTAAGATTGAACCCAAGAACCAAGATTCACCGAAGCCATCGTTTTTTCACTTTGGGTGTTTGAAAGATGGATCTTTCAAGCAATTCCCGCTATCGAAATACAGAAAAACTGGTTATGAAATCAAGCAGAAGGGTGTCGGGTCATTAGAAAATGGTATGAATGACAAAAAAAGGGGGAAAGTGGGAGAGATATGGGGGGAAACGGTAAGTTGATGGGAAGATTATATGTGAGTAGAAATGGATGAGCATCGAGCATTATGTGGAAATAGGAATGCAAATGGAAAGAGAACCCGACAAAGATAGCAATTTTGGAGATTAGGTCTTCGTGTAACATTGGCATCCTCTGCAAATTCCAGCCGTATATGAATGGTGGGTTTATCCCTTGCAAACCAGAGGTGCCCCAGAATTCTTTGCTAAGATTTGGATTGAACACTTTCGTTCGTTTTCTCTCCTCAAATGGTGCCTAAATGTGCATTTTGATACCCGAACTTTGTTTTTATGTTCAATTTAATACCTATTTTTAATTAAATGTTTAAATTTAATATTCTATTTAGCATCTAAACTTTTTTAGTCTAATTAAACACATGAATTTGTTTTCAAATTGATATACGAACTCAACTTTTGATCAACGCTATCAATTTATAATTAAAAATAACACCACCCAACTCTACGTTTTAGTTCGTAACAACGTGAGGAGGATTCATGTCCTGTAAGAGATGTTGAAACGAGCTCAGTGAACTCAAGAGCTATAATGTGTTGGAATGACCAGTACTTCGAAAAAGGACTATAATGGAGGGGAATTAAATAGTATATACAGGGACATATTTCACTAATAATTGGAGAATGAGAAAAAGAAAAGTTCTTTAATTGGTAATTTGACCAAAAGAAGTTAGTGAGTAGGTATGGAGAGGATTCTTGTTTAGATGTTTGGCTTTTCTATAAATATAGACAAACATGGCCATTCGAAATTTTGATACAAGAAAGGAAGAATTTTCGGAATTTTGAGAGAAATTTCACTTTACAGGATAACCATTTCCTTAATCGATAGTTAATCGGTGATTAAGAGAAGAGATTCTGTAACGAACAAAGTTAGAATTTTTATATCAGTGAGAGATTTCTGCATCTAAACTCAGTTTATATTTCAATTTGGAAGCTATTTTATGATCATTAGTAATGTTTGTGTATGATTATTATTGAAGCAGACAAATCACAACACTATTAGCGATTGTTTAAATGTGAGAGGAAGCAGAAAGCAACTATAGAATGTGTTTTTCTTTTCAAGGTTTGTCCTTGAAGGTGACTGCTTAGGAATTATAGAGAGGCTCAAGGCTTGAAGCCCAGACCTTGTCTTAAAATTTGTCTAGAAAAAAACCCTTTTTCTGTTCATCGATCACTAAATTTCTCTTAGGCTTTAATGTTTACATTTCTATTCTACGATCTTCAGATATTATCTCTTACGAAGTAATTCACTTCTGTTTTTTTTCCTTTTCAAACTCATATTTTAATGATTAAGGGGAAATTACACTTTTCTTTTAGATTGTATTAATTAGTTTGCTGGAATTCTATTGGATGATATTGGGAGTAAGTCTGCTCAATTTCTATTGGGTGATACTGATTCCATTTTTGAAATCGGTTAAAAGAGCCATCTTTCTGGTTCTTTAAAGCAGTTTAGATACCAAGACATGGTTTTTGAGTTTGGGTTTATTAAGAACAAGTAATTTGTTTTCAGGGTTCGTGAAGAACAATTATTATGTGTTTAGATTGTTCTTTTTGGATTTTGAATTGGTATTCCTTTGGTGATGTAATTGATGGGGGGGGGTTCAGATTTTAACTATCGAAATGAAAGGGTTTGTTTTAAAATTTTCAAAATGCTTGTGTAGGACCTATGATTCGGCTGTTTAAAGTAAAGGAAAAGCAGAAAGAACTTGCAGAAAATGCAAATGGCAGATCACCAATCAGAAAGCAAACTGCAGGGGAGTTACGTTTACACAAAGGTCTGCATATCCTGTTTAGTGAATTCGACTTGGAATGCGTGTGCGTTTGTTTGATCTAGGATCGAATTAGCACTTAGTACATGGGAGCAACATGTTATATTTGACCTTCTACTTGCAGACAGTTCCGAGCTAAACCTACCGGAATCTTGTTCCATATCATTTCCTAATGGAAAGGATGACCTGATGAACTTTGAGGTTTCGATTCGACCTGATGAAGGATATTATGTGTAAGCAACTTATTTCGTTCCTCTTGATCTTAAAACAAGCAGTCCTTTGCGCTTGAGCTTTACAGGGGAAGACTCTGTGTTCTATGTAATTCATTTCTCTTGTTAATAACACAAACAAGCATTGGACTGACATGTGGCTGCATTTTTAGTGGTGCCACGTTCTTGTTCTCCTTCCAAGTTTCTCCTACCTATCCGCACGAGTCACCGAAAGTAAAATGCAAGACCAAGGTAGACTGCTTCCTTCCCCATATTCATGTTGTGGTCCGATTTGCTTTTCGTTTATGATTCGATGTTGTTCTCCGATTTTCAGGTCTATCATCCAAATATCGACTTGGAAGGAAACGTTTGCCTTGACATCCTGCGTGAAGACTGGAAACCGGTGCTGAATATAAACACAGTAATCTATGGATTATATCAACTTTTCACGGTACTTGCCTAGTGAGTTCATGGCGTTAATTCTATGAATTCACTGCTGTCTGATACTCGAATCCTTTGGTTTTGTTTGCAGGAACCGAATCACGAGGATCCCCTCAATCACGATGCTGCTTCAGTGTTTGAGGGACAATCCAAAGATGTTTGAGTCTAATCTGGGAAGGGCTATGTATGGTGAGAATTGTTGAAAATGCATACCACCGAAAGTGCCAAACAAGTTGGCATGAATAGTCAAATAATATTAATGCATCGAAAGTTTGTTTTGTTTTTAGTTGAATTTGGACAATGGTAAAATCTCAATTTTAGTAATTGTAATTTAGGATATTTACAAATTAGTCTTTAAGTTTTAACTATAAATAACCTAGCTCATTTAGCTTAAAACCATCCCAAAGCATTCTAGCTTTCTTCTAATACTAGAGAATTTAGAGAATTTCTTGAGAGTTATTTTCTCCTTTTTATCAATAGATAATTATCATTGTTTTCTCATTGGTAGATGAGAGAAGTTGTAATTCCTATTTTCTCATAGTGAAATTCTTCTACCGTTGCCCGTGGTTTTTACCCTATATTATTTAGGGGTTTTTCACGAAATTTTTTTTGTCTCTTTTATCTTCATTTTTATTTTCTCAAATTATCAGTTGCGATTTTGCTCTATCCGATAGCCGTCTTTCGCAATAATTGGTATCTGAGCCAGATTAGAGTGTGTAATATATGTTTATTGTCTTGTGGTTGCCACCAAAAGGTGGATCCTCCAACATAAGAAAGTAAGAAGGTATTACCCATTCTTTGAAGGTTTCAGAGAACTATTCACGATAGTGAAATAGTGGGAGCTATCAGTAATAGAAGCTATGGCAACAAAATTTGATATTGAAAAATTCAATGGGAGAAATTTCTCATTGTGGAAATTGAAGATGAAGACCATCCTGAGGAAAGACGGGTGTCTAGCAGCTATCAGTGAAAGGCCGATAGATTTCACAGATGACAACAAATGGATCGAAATGGACGAGAATGTTATGGCAAACTTTCATCTAACATTAGCATATGAAGTATTGTCAAGCATCGAGGAGAAGAAGATAGCTACGAGGCCACATCGTTGTACAATAAATTTTCCTTAAGAGGAAATTGTACACTCTCCGGATGCCATAATCTACTTCAGTGACGGAGCACTTAAACACACTGAACACGTTATTTTCTCAGCCTACATCCTTAAGATGTACAATAGGAGAACAAGAACATGTTGAACTTCTACTTCAAAGTCTACCTGATTCGTATGATCAACTCATCATCAACTTGACAAATAGTAATGTCACCAGTCTAGTCTTCGATGACGTTGCAGTTGTTGTTCTACAAGAAGAAAATCGGCGCAAAAAAACAAGGAAGACAAACAACTAAATCTACAACAAGCAGAAGCGTTAACAACGATGAGAGGGATATCAATAGAACGTGGCCAAAGAAGCAGTCACAAACATGGTAGATCGAAGTGGAAGAGCAAGAAGAATTTAAAGTGCTACAACTGTGAAAAGAAGGGTCACTTGAAGAAAGATTGTTGGAGTCTAAATAAAAACTCCAATCCACAAGGCAATACCGCAAACACTTCAGATGATGGAGATGCTCTATGTTGTGAAGCGTCAACCACTGTGGAAGGCAGAAAAAGATTTGCAGATATATGACTCATTGATTCGGGAGCAACATATCACATTAACTCAAGAAGAGAATGGTTCCATCATTATGAACCTGTCTCAGGAGGATCTGTGTATAGTTGCAATGATCATGCCTTAGAGATCTTTGACGTGGAAACCATCAAATTGAAGATATATGATGGAACAATCAAAATTGTTCGAGTGTGCGGCACGTTAAAGGCCTGAAGAAAAATTTATTATCCTACGGATTGTTGGATAATAATGCAAGCAAGATTGAAACACGGAAAGGAATCATGAAGGTGTTCCGAGGAGGCTTATGGTGCTGAAAGGTGAAAATATAGCAGCAAACTTGTACATGCTGAAAGGTGCTGAAGGTGTTTCGACACATGTCAGAACAAGGAATGAAAGTCCTTGTGGAGTAAAAGCTACTTCCAGGCTTAACAAAAGTAACACTTCATTTGTGTGAGCATTGCATAACAAGTAAGCAACACCGGTTGAAATTCAACACGTCAAATTCTAAAGGCAAAAGTGTTCTAGAATTGGTTCATTCTGACGTATGGCAAGCACCAGTTACATCCCTAGGTGGAGCAAAATATTTTGTCTCATTTATTGAGAATTTGTTGAAAACATTTTGATGTTTTGATATAACAAATTAAGTTAAACGAATTTTAAGATTTTACAAAAGATTTTCTAAGTATATTCGATGTAATTATTCGAATGTCAAAATATTACTCCAAGTCTTTCAGAGTTCATTTTAATCCTTACTAAAGTGTAAAATTGTGTTTATACTTAAACTATTTTTAAAACAATTTTACAAAGTATTTCGAATTTTAAAACAATTTTACAAAGTATTTCGAACCGTTTCAAAGTCAAGAAAAATCAGATTGTCCAGGGGGTACAGATTCCCCCCAAGGGGTATAGATTCCCCCCGTAGGTTTTTGGCTCTTAGAAAATAGAATGTCCAGGGGTATAGATTCCCCCCAGGGGGAACAAATTCCACCCCAGGGGGAACAAATTCCCCCCCAAGGGGGTACCGATTCCCCATGATCAACGGTCAAAATATTTGAATTTTACTGTAACCCCCTAGACCCGGCATAAGCGTTTCGACTAAGTCTAGTGGATCACATTCATGATTCTTAAAGACATTTTTCCGAAACCGTTAGTCTATCAACGTAAAATCATATTTATAAATGACATTTATGAAATTATAATAAATTATACTATAAAAAAACCAACTCATAATTATGAGAAAAATAACAAGTTAATTAAAACATGTCTTAAAAAAATCCAAATTACAATAAACCAATATAAATTAGCAAAAGGAGTATTCATTATAAAATCCAATACTTTTAAAATAAGGCTCATGTTACCATAATATAGTTAACTTAAAAGATAAAACATTACAATACGATATACTTCAAGAGATATGTTGATCCTCCATGTGCTTGATCCGAGTATCTAACCAACAGTAGGTGAAAGGGGAAAATATTTTCGAAAAGTGAGTTAGGCTCAGTGTGTCCCAATAGTACAATAAAATCATAGTAGGTATAGTAATTGAGTAATAGTTCAGAAATTCATCATCAAACCATATGAAGTTTAACTTTTGAAACTCGTAATTTAAAACCCTTATCCTGTACACCATCCGCAATTCCCCAGAACTGCGTCCATAGGGCTTACCTTAAGCACACAGCAAAAATGAAGCCAACCTAAAGATAGGTTTTGGGGCCTTTATCCTTAAGTCTGTAAGTCCGTAGGGCTTACCCTAAGAAAACAGTAAAGGGAGCCAACCTAATGAAGCATCTTGAGATCCGTGAGCCTACCCAAGAGTCACATTGGGTCCATAAGGTTTACCAGCTTGATCAAAGTTGTACCTCCGTAATGCAATTCAACCCAAAATCAGTATTTCAAATATACTATTTATGCAGTAAGCATAATTTCCATAATTCCATAATCAATATTATCATATACCAATGAAAACCAATAATCATATATCATTCCTATTCCATAAACCATCACCAGTAAATAGGTGGATTAATAAAACATTAAACCATAGCTTTCAATGTACCATATTTCAAAACATATAAAACAATCAAGTAGTACACAGGGAACACACCTCGAAAATAGGTTCAAATAGTAGATCTAGTGATTGCTGGCCTCGCCACGCTCTGCTACTGTTTTCGAACCTAATCCATAATAACACTATATTACTAATGGGTAACAAAATTAATTTCTGAAATCATAAAATTTACGGGTATTCCGGGTGAATACTAGCACACGCGGCTTAACTGATCTAGAGGAGCTGGGTCGAGCTGTCGAACGGTCAGGAGAGTCTCTGTACCTTCAAACATTAATAATTTATCAGTCTCAAGTCTTACTCAACCATTCAAAGCTTAAACTCTTAATACATAAGCATTTTTCGGGTTTGACTATCAATTTGGAAGCTTTCAAGTCTGAATTTGACCAAACGGAGTACGGAATCGGAATCAGGGCGAAGAAAAACATAAAGTATGACTTTTCGAAAATTCAAATTCTTGGTCAAAATCAAAGTCAACGGGTTTGACTGATGATTTGGAGGCCTTCGGGTTCGAATTTGGAGAAACAGACTTCGGAAACGGATTCGGCACGTCGAAAAATGTCATAATAGGTATACTCGAATAAAATCAAAGGTCTTTTAATGGCCGTTTAAAGCCGGTCAAAGAGGTTCAATAATCCACATTCAAAAAATACATAAATATCACCTATATTAAAAATAATTACCAAATGTCACTGTTTTTTTTTAAAATCCCAAAATGTCACCGGGTCGGGTCAATGGGTCGGGTTAACAGGTCGGTCAACGGGTCAGGTCGAACCGGTTCGGACCGGTCAAACATGCAATCAATCAGTTAGTAGCCCCCCGCGCGTAGGAGCGGGGCGTGGGGGCGCGTGAGGCGTCGTCTGGTCTCCATTAATTCATGAAAAAAATTCTAAAAATTCTTTTAAGCGATTTTGAGTCACTTACCAACCTCGGTTCAAATTTTTGAACGGTGGAGAGCACGATTTCAACTCGATCAAATCTTTGACCGCTCCACCTCCCACACGCGCCGCCGCCTACGGAGACAAGGACAACACCTTCATACTCGAAAAGACACCAGGAACATGATGGTATGGGAGGTAGGGGTGTGCAAATCCAAGTACCTGGATTTTCGGGTACCCGATTTCTAGATACCCAGAACTTTCGGGTCGACGATTTCTCGACCCGTGTCCCGACCCGGATGTTACGGGTACCGGTAATTGGGTACTCGGATTTTGTGGGTACCCGTAATCGGGTACCCGATACCCGGTTTTTAACTTTTTATTTTCAAATTATTAATTTAAAAAATATATATGCACAAATTTAAATGTTCGAAACTTCGAATTACATACTCTAATATCCGAACATAAAATTTAAAAGTTCAAAATACAAAATATAATCCATAATATAAATAATTCATTATATTTTATATAATTATATATAAAAATATAAAAAAAAATA